ATATATATATATGTATATGTATGCAATACATGTTCATTGTAGAATGTTAGGGAATACTCAAGAAGAAAGAATAAAGGTCACCTGGAAGGCTGCTAAGCAAATCCAAGAATTTTAACATTTGTATTATTTTCTTACAATTTTAGATGCATTTCAAACAGTTTTGTTAGTGTGACATAAACATCTGGACTCCTTGATTACTTAAAAATATAGTTTAAACATTTTTGAAGAATTGTCTTTTGTAAACATTTTTATTTTTAATCCTAATAGGAAACCAATGTTGACTTAGAATAATTTGATAACATTTTAATGAAAAACTATTTACAAATATATGGACAGGAGTTCATAAGGGGCAGTAACCCAGGGCTTAGTGGCTATGCTTGCAGGTCAAGGGCAGAGAGCAGTGATGGTTGTGTGAATCCAATGTGACCTTCAGCTAGGAGTTGTGGCAACCTGGGGTAACTCCACAGGGGTAGATAGGGATGGAAGAATAGATATTCCCAAAACCTCTTTTCTCCCTCTCTTCAGTCATCCAGGAGATTCACTTTAGCTGAAACTAACTGGCAGCCAAATGGAACAGAACCTAAGTCATCCGTATAGATAACTTCTGAGGCAGAAACCAAAGGGGAAAGAAACTGGGATCCAGTGGTTCTGGGAGGACAATCGGAAAATATTCAGGGCACTAATTAATATTTAATTAAAGTTTATTTACAAATCCCCCTCTTTTATTATTTATGTTTTTCCCCCACTATCATCAATAATGCTGTTAGATTTTCTCTACTTAGCATGATTTCCTCAGTGTACACCATTAAGAGAAAAAATACCAGGTAAATATGTATAGAACATTTAAGGCTTATGACTTATTTTTTCCAAGAGATTGCTATAATTTATATTTCCTCCGGCAAGTTATGAGAGTATATCCTTATTAGCAGTGTAAGTTTTTGATGTTACTAATTTGTTTGGAAAATTATATGACAGTGTTTCACTCTGCATTTCTTTGATAACTATTAGGTTTAAAGGTTTTCATGTTTGTTATTTTCATTTTTCTTTTCATATCCTATTTTACTTCATGTGGCCCCAAACGAATTATGATTAGTTCATTAGTGTAACAAAGATTAATACAAAATCCATTAACCCCAAAATTTACTTGATATTGAATGTGTTTTATCTCAATACATGTCTTTTAAAAAGAAAATTAAGCACCTGACTACTCCACGTGCCCCTTTTTGGTTTTTTTGACCCTGAGATAATCATAATTGGCTTATTTCACTCATAACAAAAACGTTTCATTGTTTGCAGTAGATATTACTAGAAAACATGGTTAAAGTCAGATTGGAAATTTTTAGAAAATCATCATTTTGGCAGAATATGCAATATAATACATATTCAGTGCATCCTATGTTGCAAATATATCTCATCTTCCTGAAAAATTCATTTGCTAATTTGCCTACAAGGAAATTGATCCTATGAGATGCTAATTTGTCTCAGATCTCACAAAAGGCATGTAATGAACTCATAATCTGTAAAATGCAAGCCTCTATTTTATCAAATACTCTGTTTTATTATCATTGACATTAGCATTAATACTGAACAGATTAATTTGCTTACCATAACCTCTTTAAAATGTATACTGATAACTAGAAACTAAATGATATGTTCACCTATTCCCAACCACACAAAACTCCATTACAAACTAAGCAATTGTGTCTTTTTCTAGAACAGGGGGGAAATCTCCATATGTTGGTATTTGAAGAGCATAAACGGTCTTCCTCTGTTCTCCAAAAATAATATTGTCTTTCAACATTAGTCTAATGCCTGCATCTCCATTATGTCAAGGCATCTAAGTAAGACTCCTTCTTAAATACAAGATGTGAAAGACAAAAGCACAATGTTTCCATCCTATAGTTGTGATTATGAAGTAGGAAAACTGAGGGGAATCCATTTTAGAGAGGCTAGGTCTCTGCTGTTTTTTCTGCTAGGCCACATTTTTATATTTTGCCTCTGAACACGCCAAAGAAGCCATGTTCCCACTTTGAGGGGAAGCAAAAAAGCTAATCATTCTCTGGGTTTTGTCCTAGGTCCTTACCACGTGATAACTAACATCTAAGAACTGGATCCCAAACAAACATGTTCCAGGACATTAGCTTCAAATAGACCTCCGCCGACACTGGCATCAATACCTCCTACCTTTGATGATTCATGAAAGAACAACTATTATTCACCTGTCACTCACCTTTGATTGGACCCTACCCTGGATTTCTAAAGGAACATGGACCCTAGATCCTTTTTCAGTATGAACCCCTAACACCAAGCAATAGTGACTCATTCTCCTAAGTCTCCTACATCAATTACAAATCCTATTCTGGAGTCAGACGTCTCATATGATTCCTGGCTCTGCTACCTATTAGTATGAATTAGGCAAGTTATTTAACCTCCTTGTGACTAAGTTTCCTCATCCATAAAAAAATTATCTCAGAGGGTGTTCTGAGAAATAAGTTGATAAATATAGGATTTATTAGATCCTAGTGGCCAAATGTAAATCATTAGACCAGAAGAGTATTTATCAAATAAAATTTAAAGAAGGGAAAGAAACATGGAAGAAAGGAAGACAGGAAGTATCTGGCTATTCATTTTGAAAATTACTTCAATCAAGCTTCAATCAAGCATGCATTTACTTATGTACTCTACTAATTTCTTAAACACGTTGACCATATAGGACAAGCAAGGTCCAGCCAACCTCTGTCCTATTATTTGATAAAGTAAATTCTCAATAGATGATGCAGAGTTAAATACATAAAAGAATAAATGAATGTATAAAACTAGAAATCCCTGGATATCTGGAAATGGATATAAAAAGTAACATTTTTCATATTTTTCCCAAATGTACACAAAAAGGAGGAATAATCTATATGAAGCCCAGGAAAAACATGAACCAGAGCACTAAGGGGCTAGTAGGCTGAAATGTACCTAAATGGGCCTCTTCAATCAGGCCTCACCAATTTAGATAGACACCCTATTTCAGGCATGCGAGATTCAATTCCAGCTGTAACATGGCTCAAACCACTTGCTTTACTGTTTCTCTTACATAAACAAGGTCAAGTTGATGGTACTTACTCATCTGTCCCCATACTGGAAACACCTTTGAAAAAGGTTCTATAAGAATATGACACTCAGAATATATAATACCTCATACCAGTACCCACCATGACTCTTCTACATTGTCCTGTTTGTGTACTTACTCGCTGGGTTTTCCGTGCTATGGAGACTGACCATTGGGATGCCTGGGCCTGGATTTTAAAAACATACATATTAAAAATATGTATAAATTAAAAATTTGTATAAATATTTTAAAGATATGAGTAACAATTCATGACAGTGTTATTTTTTCCAAATGGAAGTATTTCATATTAAAAACATAATGAAACAGAAACCAGATAACTACATTTAATCACTACCTATGGCTATTTTATTAAAAAAAGAATATATGGGGAAAGAAACCATTTGCAGAGATTGTTTTTAAGCTTTTCCCTTCTCCAAAATGCCTTTGTACTTCTACATTTCTATGGTTCCCAATCTTAAGCTCCTTACTCTTTCACTACTCTTTTATAGAACAGTCAGTGATACTCAGAATGCTGATTCATAACCCCTCATTTGTTCATCCAAAATTAAATTGTTTCCACTCAGCCAAGAAAGAAAGGATGCACACTCTGGAATGGAAATATCTCATCCATAAGATGAATAAAAATTTGGTTCTAATTATATACTAATTGAAAAAAATACCTTAACTGGAATCACCAAATATTTCAGATATACTAGTTAATTCAGGTAACTGTAAGATGTTATCTTGAAGCTTTATTCCTCTGCAGAACTATAACTAGAGGTCTAATGGTTTTCCCTGATGTCATCAAACAAGTACTTTTTTGATTACTTTGTTTTTAGATACCAAGAGGAAAAAAAAAAACAAAAAACTAAAAAGAGCATGTGTTGATTTATTCCTCAGGGTGTCTTAAAAACAGGACAGCTTCAGGTACCAGCTAAAGCAAGAACACTCAGTCCATCACATTATAAGGGACAGATGTCTCCCATATGATCTTTGAGAATTACAGTATCTTTTTAAGGGGCAATGATTCCTATCAGTATAGCATAGACATGCCATACTCCTATATAAGACTATAGAGTATTTTTACCTGATAGATCTAATTAGGGTGAATTAGGGTGAATCTCTCTGAACTTCAGGATGCTAGACCCAGGCAGTTAAATTTCTGTAGAACCTAAACCTCTTAACAGCCAAGCCAATATTTCAATAAGAGGGCTTTTTTTTTTTTTTT